CCCTCTCCCTTCCTCTCTAAAGTCGATGAAAATATATTTTTTAAAAAGGGGGAGGGGAAAAAGGGATGGGCCTGCTCTGCCACATGGCCTGTCACATGGGGGACAGAGTGGACCTGGAATATTGTTCTGAACCCCGCCTTTCAAAAGGACAAACCTAAGCAAGAAGGCATATAGAGCAGCAGTTTTCATCTCATGGCACACATGAACTGACTTCTAAAATTCTGCAGCACACCAAAAAATATAGTCTATTTTTTGCTGATCTTCCAAAAAAATTGATATCATTTTGATGCATTTACACCAGACGGCTATTGTTGTGTCGGCTGTTGTCATTTGTGTGTGTGTGTGTGGAAAAGCAAGCAATTTATTAGCCGCAGCAAAGATATCCTTAGGACAGTGAAACCAAGGAGGGCACAGAAGAAGCAGGAGAGCCGAGGCTGGGCTGCCTCAGCTCACTGGGAAGTCAGAGGAAGGGGGGCAAGGGAGCCTTGGAGACAGACTCAGGGGTTAACCCTGGATGAGCTGCCACTACCCGTTGTTCCCCTGGTGGCAAGTCTCAGGGGCTCACTTCGAGGTGAGGGGGGAGAGCCGAGGCTGGGCTGCCTCAGCTCACTGGGAAGTCAGAGAAAGGGGGGCAAGGGAGCCTTGGAGACGGACTCAGGGGTTAACCCTGGATGAGCTGCCACTGCCCGTTGTTCCCCTGGTGGCAAGTCTCTCGGGCTCCTTTCCACTGTTATGAATCGTAATGTAAATATCTGATATGCAGGGTGGTCTTAGGCGACCCCTGTGAAAGGGTCATTCGACCGCCGAAAGGGTCGCGACCCACAGGTTGAGAACCGCTGGTCTAGAGTAGAAAAGTCCATGGAACTGGGGGTGTTGGTTATGGAGAAGAGAAGTCACCAGGGACAGGACTACCCTTCATGTCGTTTCTGAAGGGCTGTGATGGGGGAGAGTAGACAAGTGACGCTTGTGTTTAAGCTACTCATCCATTCAGGAGGTTCAGGGCTCCTAGCCATTCTCTATTTAGGGAGTGGATGGAGCCGAAACTTGAAAATAGTAGCACCCTTGCACCTTTCCTCCTCTCTTTAACCTGGCCAGTTCACATCAGCCTGGCCTCACCTGCCCGTCTGTTAGTTTCATAGAGAAATCTGTGTCTTTCTGTCTGAGGCTTCTTGCTCTCAGATGGGAAGGGCTGCACAAACGCCTGGGCCCTGCCAAAGCTGGTCAGTGGGGGTATTGTTTGCTGTGGACGGAGCTGTGTGTGACAGCGGGATCCGCTGCTGGTGTCTGGTGCCGTATCTTCTTGAGGAGGGTAAATCTGGTAACGCTCCCCGGGTGCAGCCGTGGCTTCTAAAACGGGATGTGTAGGTAGGTGTGGGCAGCTATAAAGACCCAGCGTGCTCAGGTTCGGGGAGAGCACCGGCCTCCAGGACGTATGAGCCGCACGAAGACTCCCACAGAGTTCTCAGGGGTTCCCGAGGGCTGTGCCCGTCTGTCGGCAGCACACACATGCTTAGGGGTAAGCACGCACTTTTGTGCTGGAGGTGCTGGTGAACTGGCCCCTGTGGACAAGCCGCTTTTCCCTAAGTGTCAACTTGACGAAACGTCTTCCCTTTTCAGTCTTGAGAAGCAGGTTGGGCCGTAGATCCCTTTAACTCCATCTCATACAACTCGGGTCGATGAAGGACTTTCCATGCTGGCCGGCTCTTCTCTGGCCTCAGGTTTCCGGCCTCCTGCCAAACAGCACAGGAATCCATTGGTTCTGGTGTTTCCCCTGTTCCGGCCTCTGAGGCAGAGTCCCTGTCTTCTCCCTGAGGAGGGAAGAGAAAGCGAGCTTCCCCTGTGCGCCCCGACCTGCACTGTTTCCCCGGCTTCCACTTGCTCAGAGCAAAGCCCGAGGAGTTGCTTCCCTTGTATCGAGTGCGTTGTGAGGCGGGTGGCTGTCTTTCAGCATCCTCCTAAGGCCTGTCTAGCTGCTGGAGAAGTAGGCCGGCATAATGGTCTGTGCCTGACTAATTCTCACCAGTGTCTTCCTTCTGCCTGGCACCCAGGGCTTTCTGGATCCCTTGGGAAGCACTGAGCCCTTTGCTTTGCCTTTCCAGAAAGCCATTGATCTGGTGACAAAAGCCACAGAAGAGGATAAAGCCAAGAATTACGAGGAGGCGCTGCGGCTCTACCAGCATGCGGTGGAGTATTTCCTACACGCTATCAAATGTGAGTCCCACCCGGGCCCTCCCAGGCGCCAGGCCCCTGCGAGGAGTGTGGGCACCTGGGGCTCACAGGGCCCCTCTCCGATCCCCTTCTGCAGATGAGGCTCACAGCGACAAGGCCAAGGAGAGCATTCGAGCCAAGTGCATGCAGTACCTAGACCGGGCCGAGAAGCTGAAGGATTATTTACGGAACAAAGAGAAGCACGGCAAGAAGCCCGTCAAAGAGAACCAGAGTGAGAGCAAGGGGTGAGTACGCAGGCGGGGAGGACCCGGCCAGGACCCGCGAGCATGTGCCCTGGGCCTGTGTTGCGGTCGCTGTGGGTGCTAATGCGGCCTTGGACTGTCACGGCACCTTTGTTTTGGGGAAGTCTGCTCACCGCAGCCCAGAGCTGCTTTCGCCAAGCACTTTACAGAATACTTCTGGGTACACTGCGGCACTAGGCCTGGATGGGGAGCCAGCGTGGGGAGACTAGCCTTGGATTCTGCAGCCAGACTCTTGGGGTATAACCTGGCTCTGCTGCTTCCTAGTCTTGTGACCTTGGACACGTGCCATGGCCCCCTGTGCCCTCGAGTTCCTCGTCTGTAGGAGGAAGATAATGGGGCTTCCCTCTAAGGAGCAAATGAGATGATGGGGTGAGGCCCTGAGGATGGATGCTGGTGCTCAGTGAGGATTAAATAACCGTCAGCTGCTGTTGTCATGGGAGTTAACATCTTCATCTGACTGATGAGGCTACAGACTCCGAGGTTCAGAGGTTGTCATGGTCACGGAGCTGGAACTTGATGGAGTTGGGACCCATACCCGGGGCCTGTGTTTCTGATTCCAAAGCCAGGGTTCCCTCTGCAGTTTCTCTCCTCACGTCTGTGGTTTGTCCACCATGGAGATTCTGGTTATCTGAGCACAAAGGCCGCTGGGTGCTGGAGGGAGGGAGGATCCTGGGCAGGGAGTCTGCGTAGGAGAGCGGTGGGTGCTGTGTCAGCTGTGCCCCAGAGGTGGGAGGCTCTGCTTCTGGTGGAGAAGGTTGCCTGAGTGAGAGACACACCGAGGAAGGGGCAGGAGGCCAGACCTCCAAGGGAGCTGCAGGAGGTGTGAGGATGGCAGAGCCCTCATGTCCGGACGGATCTGCCAGGCGGTGGGGGCAGTGACTGTGTTCCTTTTCCAGGTGCTCCTCTGTAGACTTAAGAACACTGACCTTGCCCTAGCTCTGTGGTCGGCAAACTCACAAGCCGCAGTTTGCCGACCACTGCCCTAGCTTGTTTGGCTCAGTGGATAGTGTCGGCCTGTGGACTGAAGGGTCCCGGGTTTGATTCCAGTCAAGGGCATATGCCTGGGTTGCAGGCTCGATCCCCATCAGGGGGTGTGCAGGAGGCAGCTGATCAGTGATTCTCTCTCATCATTGATGTTTCTCTCTCCCTCTCCCTTCCTCTCTGAAATCAATAAAAAAATATTTTTTTTAAAGAAGGCAAAAAACCCAGACTGACCTCTTCTCCAGGTCAGAGCCACTTGTTGTCTGGTTCTGAGTCTGTATGAGAGGCCAGTGAGGGCTGTAATTACCTGCCTTGCCTGGCTGCTCTGTTTTCCCCTCTTTTTAAAATATATTTTTATTGATTTCAGAGAGGAAGGGAGAGGGATAGAGAAACATCAATGATGAGAGAGAATCATTGATTGGCTGCCTCCTGCAGGCCCCCTACTGGGGATCAAGCCCACAGTCCCGGCATGTGCCCTGACCGGGAATCGAACCTTGACCCCCTGGTTCATAGGTAGATGCTCAAACACTGAGCCGGCCCTGGCTGCTCTTGAAGTCCAGCCAAAGCGCATGTCCACCACCAGTCTCTAGAAAGAGCGCATGTGTCTCTTATTCCCTTAATGAAGAAATGAGGATGGGTCATGAGAGTTTCCTGGAGGATCCATTGTGGTCCCTGAATGTGCTCGGGGACCTGTTTGTGGGTGTCTCCTCTGTTGAGCAGGAAGAGCATCCCTTTACCCCTCTGCTGGCAGCAGAGCCTGGCCTCGCCCTGAGAGCCTCTTACCAACCTCCGGCTCTAACCTGTCATCTTCTGTCTCCTTTCCCAGCAGCGATAGTGACAGTGAAGGGGATAATCCAGAGAAAAAGAAATTGCAAGAACAACTGATGGGTAAGAGGCTGGAGGCCCCATGCTGTGGGAGCTGGACATGAGGCCCTCGGTGGGTCCGGGCTCTGGATCAAAGGCTCTGCCTCCCTCCGCAGGGGCCGTCATGATGGAGAAGCCCAACATTCGGTGGAGTGACGTGGCCGGGCTGGAGCTGGCCAAGGAGGCCCTTGAAGAAGCTGTCATTTTGCCAATTAAATTCCCACACTTGTTCACAGGTAAGAGCTGAGCCTCTGTCGGCCCCGATGTAAAATACCAGGCTTCTGAGGGAGCAAGCTCAGGGCTCCCGCTCTGAGGCTGTCCAGGGGCAGGTGGTGACTCGGCTCCCCTTGCCCTCAGTGGGCGAGGCCTGGCCTCCGGGGGCTCCCACTCAGGAAAGGCCAAGGCCTGCCCGTTGCAGTCGTCCAGCCCTTGGCTTCTCTCTGGTGTCGGAAACACCTTTATAACTAGAGCTTCACTGACTGTCCCAGTGGGCGGGCGGGGTCAGGAACCAGTGCCAGTCAGTGTCACTTTGCAAGGTCGCGGGGTCATGAGCCAGGGCTAAGACAAAGCCTGGGCAGTTAACTTAGTGCCCTTCCTCCTTTGCTCTTAGAATCCGTTGTCCTGTAGAAGTCATTCCTGACCGTATTTACAATGACCGAGGCCCATCTGCGTTCTTGTTCCCCTGCCCCAGTCAGAGGAAGCTCACCCAGTTTATTCTTTCTTGCAGGCAAGCGTACCCCTTGGCGAGGGATACTGCTCTTTGGACCCCCTGGCACTGGGAAATCCTACCTGGCCAAAGCGGTGGCAACAGAGGCCAACAACTCCACCTTCTTCTCCGTGTCCTCCTCGGACTTGATGTCTAAGTGGTTGGGCGAGAGTGAGAAGTGAGTCAGCACCAGGCCCTTCTCTGCTGGGTCCCCGGCGTTCTCTGCTGGTGGTCCGCTTCCTGCCCTTGGAGTCACCGCCCAGAGGAGCTGCTGCTGGATGTCAGGGAGGAGGGGTGGGGGTAGACTGATCAAGACCCTGAAATTGGGAGGGCACTTGGGAGAGGTGGGTCTTCATGAAGGGAAGAGAAGGCACCCCAGTAATTGGGTATCAGGTGGGTATCCTCTGTTGGGGACTTTATGTAGTTAGTGTATTCCCCACACCGACTCCCAGGTAGCAGATGATGAAACAGGAAGGGAAGTGACTTGTCTTAGGTCCAGAGCTAATGGATGGGGAAGGATGCCCGGCTTGCCCTTCCTCTGGGTGCGGTGCTGCCGGAGGATTTGTCACCACCGTTTTTTCTGAAATCCAAGCGTGACTATCGTCTTGACCTCCTCGTGGCAAGGGCAAGAGAAGTGGCGACTGGGACCCTGGCGGGGCATGTGTGTGAGTGTCCAGGTGCCAACCCCCTTTTTCGCCTTCACAGGCTAGTCAAGAACCTGTTTGAGCTGGCCAGGCAGCACAAGCCTTCCATAATCTTCATCGACGAGGTGGATTCCCTCTGCGGATTCCACAATGAAAATGAGAGCGAGGCTGCCCGAAGGATCAAAACAGAGTTCTTGGTCCAGATGCAGGGTGCGTGCGGGTCCTGGGTCTCCTCCCTGGTCCTCGTCCACCTAAAGCCAGGCCAGGCTTCATGAGTTAGCTGCAGCTGGACCTGCTTGCCCTTGGGGCGGAGGGAAATCTCAGAGAAGCAATTCTCAGTTCCATCTCCTCAGGCCTTCATTTGGAGAGGTCCCTGGGCCTTTGGCCACCGCCCCCGCCCCTCCGAGGCCGGCAGGGCAGCCGAGCTCTTCGCTGCCACTAAGCCAGTTAGGGTCCGTCCCCCCCACCCCCCTACCCCCGCTGAGGTGGCACAGGGTGGCTCCCGTTCAGGACACACAGCCCCGGAGGTCCTTCCCCGCAGGTTCTGACTGGCGGTTGCGGGTGCTCTGAGTCAGCGTCTGCTTCCCTTTGTCCACAGGAGTGGGGAATAACAACGATGGGACTCTGGTTCTTGGTGCCACAAACATCCCCTGGGTGCTGGATTCGGCCATTAGAAGGAGGTGAGTGCCCGGGAGGAGGAGGCAGGGTCTTTGTCCTGACCGGTCTGGAGGCTTCTCCCGCCTGCGTGGTGAGCAGCCGAGTGCAGCAGCGCTGTGAGCCCGCGGTCCCTCTTCATTAAGACTCCCCCTCCGTCTGCTCTCAAGTCCAGCCGTGTGCTTGGCTCTCTAGGTTTGAAAAGCGGATTTACATCCCGTTGCCGGAAGAGGCGGCCCGCTCCCAGATGTTCCGGTTGCATCTGGGCAGCACGCCCCACAGCCTCACGGACGCCAACATCCAGGAGCTGGCCCGGAAGACGGAGGGCTACTCGGGCGCAGACATCAGCATCATCGTGCGGGACTCCCTCATGCAGCCCGTGCGGAAAGTCCAGTCGGCCACACACTTCAAAAAGGTGGGTGAGCCGCAGGCGTTGGGTAGCAACTGTCGCAGGAAAGGGGACAGCCGCCGGCACGCGTGGGTCTCCTGGAGCACCAAGGGCAAGTGCAAATGAACCCTTTGGCTGCAGGGCCCGGACAGGGTTGTCCCTGCTCTCCCCTCCCCTGCAGTTCTTCCTGCCCGACCATCTCAGATTGTGTGAGCCGAGGGGACAGCACCGTGGTCCCCGCTGCCACCCCCGCCGTCAGCACTGCTGTGTGTGGTGGGTACAAAATCCCACCCCGTAAGGAGGAACTCCGTTCACACAGAGGGTCTCTGTCAGGTGGCTGCCAAGGGTCCTACTGTGCACCTGGCCTCTCTCTAGGTGCTAGGGAGACATTTGTAACTGACTACAGCAGACAGAATCCCTGCCCTCCAGGAGCCTCTTCCAAAGGGTGAGACAGTGAATAAACAAAACAGATCCATTTCTCAGAGGGTGGCGAGGGGGATGCTGGAGCAGGGAAGGGAGGTCTGAGATTTGGGGGCAGAGGGGCAGGTTGCACTCAAAGGATAAGCCACACTGGGTGCCATTCAAGTTGATGAAGGTGAGGGCATGAGCCTTCAGACACTTGGGAGAATGTGCCAGTGGAGAGGTTGCAGGTGGAAAAACATTTTTGATGCCACTACGTTGGTGGTGAGATTTGAGTGAATGAGGAAGAGGAAGGGATCAAGGCATTTGGGGCCACACAGTGAGATTCTGGAGGACAGTGGCTGGAATAGCATGCCCTTCACCAGCCTCTGAGTCGGACTTAAGCCGCTGGGACCGCTCGGCCTGAGAGTTGTGAAGGAGCCTTTCCCTCCTCAGACTAACGACCTAGAAAGCCAGGCTTTTGTTCACACCCTGCCCTCACCTTCTCTTCAGGACTCGGAAACCTGCGGTGTCCTGCCCCTTCTCCAGAAGCCAGCCATCACACTCCCGTTTCTTCCAGGTCTGCGGCCCTTCCCGCACCAACCCTAACATCATGACCGACGACCTCCTGACCCCGTGCTCTCCAGGGGACCCAGGGGCCATGGAGATGACTTGGATGGATGTCCCTAGTGACAAACTCTTAGAGCCTGTGGTTTGCATGGTAAGTGGCCAACTGGCAGAGAGGACTGCACAGCCCAGAAAATGGAGGGCTTGCGTCCAGGAATAAAAATGAGCTTCTTCCCTTTTCTGTTCAAGGCTGTTGTGGCTCCTAAACAGAGAATGGCCTTTGGGGCTGAGTAGCTGGGGCTTCTGCTGTTAGACGCAGTCCTCACTCAGTCCCAGGGTAGGAGCCGTAGCATTAGCATTTATTTTCTTCTGCAAAAATAGTAAAAGCCAGCCCTAGCCGGGTTTGCTCAGTGGATAGAGCATTGGCCTGTGGGCTGAAAGGTCACGGGCTTAATTCCAGTCAAGGGCACGTACCTCAGTTGCAGGCTCGATCCCTTGCCCCAGTTGGGGTGCGTGCAGGAGGCAACCACTTGATGTGTCTTTCTCACATAGATGTTTCTCTCTCTGCGTCTCTCCCCGTCCTTTCCACTCTGTCTAAAATTCAATGGAAAAATATCCTCGGGTGAGGATAAAAAAAAGAAAATAGTGCCCGAACTGGTTTGGCTCAGTGGATGGAGCGTCGGCCTGTGGACTGAAAGGTCCCAGGTTCGATTCCGGTCAAGTGCATGTACCTTGGTTGTGGGCACATCCCCGGTGGGAGGTGTGCAGGAGGCAGCTGGTCGATGTTTCTCTCTCATCGATGTTTCTAACTCTCTATCCCTCTCCCTTCCTCTCTGTAAAAAATCAATAAAATATTTTTTTTAAAAAACAGTGAAGGCCAGGTGATCGACGGCCTCATTCCACGGGTTTGGCTTGTTTTGTGCACAGAAGGAACCAGCAGATGCCTGGCAGCCTGCTGTGATTTGATGCGGTTGCGCAGGCAGCCTCCCCTGGCTAGTCCTCACCCCCTTATCGTGGTGTTGCCCGTTCTGCATGGCAGGTGTCTGCCTTTTCAGCGGGTGTGGGCGTGCAGGTAGAAAGCTGCTCCCGGGAGTTAGATGGCGGGAGCTGAGGTTCCCTGGGGCTGGCAGCAGGCCCACCTGGAACCGACAGAAACTGCCCCGGAGGAAGAGCATCTCTCAGGGGAGGCTTTCAGGCAGAAGCCAGGCTGCCAGAGGGAGATCTGCATTTGGGGCTGGCGCTGACCTCCACCCTAGACTGCATGGGTCTGCGACGCTGGGAGGCCGCGGACGTGAGGCCGGCCACTCCTCAGCCGCATGCTTTTGTCTTTGCAGTCGGACATGCTCCGGTCTTTGGCCACCACCCGGCCCACCGTGAATGCAGATGACCTCCTGAAAGTGAAGAAATTCTCAGAGGACTTTGGACAGGAGAGTTAAAAGCTTTTCACTCTGGTGATGGTGACGGAAGGAGGTTGGTGGCGGTAAATTCATGCACTCCTCATGTCGGTGGCCAGACAGGCTGCAGGGCTCGTCCTAAAATCACTCCGTGTCCCCTGGGCTGTCTGGCCGCCAGCCAAGGAGCAGGAAGGAAGGGGCTCCCGGCCGCAGAGATGCAGAAGCACATCCGGCAGCGGGTGGAATACTGGCTCTTCCTACTTCCTCCTCCTCTTCTGGAAGCTCACTACTCCTTGTCCTGACACTCCATGTTTGTTTTTAAAGCCTTTTTTGTTCCTCTAAATTAATGCTGCTTGGATTTTCGTCTTGTTTATAAATAAAGTCAAAATCACCTGGAGCATCACGGAGTGGGAGCAGCCGAGCAGTGGGGTTGGTGCAGCAGACCTGCGAGCCCCCATGGCCCGTTCCTTTTAGACCCAAGTGTCGCTCCTTGTGAACTGAATGACTGACGCCCTGGAACCCCAGCCCAAGCTGTGCCTGCAAAGGCCAAGAGTAAAGCCAAGCCATCCGCACACTCCCAAGTCGCACACTCCCAAGTCGCCATCCCTGTTCCTCCCTGCAGGAGGAGAGGGGTCTGTGAACACCAAGCTGTGCACGTCAGAAGGAGTGAAGGCAGTCAGGCGGGTCTCACTAATGCCTCTTCCCTCTGAATGTGAGAACATGAACCCAGCCACCGCCCGGGTCCCTGTCCTGGAAGTGGGCTAATAAATCCTTTTCCCTTCTTGAGCCACCTGAGTGATTTTGTCTTTGACTCTTGGGCTCTTGGAAGGTAATGCTTGCTTCCATTAGAAAGACCTAGTTTTCTTTAAATGTCAGCATTGTTCTAAGCCCTTTGGATACATTAACTCATTCAACCTTCCACTGTGCCGAGGTCTATATACCAGTCAGGTTCCTGAGGCTGTCTTCCCCCAGGGCCTCAAAAGTGTGGCCAGGGGCGTTTGAGGGACTTGGGCAGTTCTTCCCGTTGTCCAGCCTCCCGATCAGAGTCTCAAACTGGGAGACCTGTGGCCAGATGTGGCCTGCAGCTGTTTGGTTTGCTCTGCTGCCAACATTTAAAACTCAAGAGTAGACACAAAAATTCAGGTTAGGTAATGCTGGGCCTGTGTCCCCAGGAGGCCACATAACAGCTGCAGCCGAGCAGGGGCGGCCCTATTCAGTTGCCACATGCTGTGCGTTCACCGTCCCCAGGTGGCCCGCTCACACATTTGCATCGCCTGCCTGGCCCGTTTGACTTTGTCAGACACCCGAGTCTCCAGGCTGGCAGCCCTGGAAATGCTGTCTGACGGAGCAGATGCAGTAATGGCTGTCAGGTTGACCACGAGATATGAACATGCAGAAAAGTCCTGGCACGGGTTGTTCAGCCTTCCTCCTCCGTCCCCCCTCCACCCCCACTGGAGTCTTCAAACCCGGATGGTCCAGAACTGAGTATGTGCCAACTCTTAGATCGTGTTAGCCTTGCACTGTGGTGCTCCTTTCATCTGGTTAGGAATGTCTGCTGAATTCAGCTAATTTCTTTCCCTTTTTTTTTTCCTTTTTCCCCCCAGCTAATTCTTTTTTTAAAAAATTTATTTTATTGATTTTTTTACAGAGAAGAAGGGAGAGGGATAGAGTGTTAGAAACATCAATGAGAGAGAAACATCCATCAGCTGCCTCCTGCACACCTCCTACTGGGGATGTGCCCACAACCAGGTACATGCCCTTGACCGGAATTGAACCTGGGACCCTTTAGTCCGCAGGCCGACACTCTATCCACTGAGCCAAGCCGGTTAGGGCTCCCCCAGCTAATTCTTAAAGTGTCTGCTGAATTGAGCCTTCTGACCTCATTTCTATGTATCTGGAAGGCTTGGGCTTGGTGCTCCTCTCCATTGCTACTGAGTTAGCCTCGCTACCTGGAGCGCCAGCCAGCCTGACCTCCAGATGACACTGCAGCAGCTGTGACTGGAATTCTTGTTACTTGCTCTGGAGCTCCCACATATACACTTCTTGGTTAGTTATGTGCTCTCAGCCAGCCGTTAAGTTTGTAAATGCTGGACTAGAAGCCAGGATAAGACACTGCCCCTGCCTCTACTGTTTTATTTTAACTTTGTGTTTAGTCGTATTTTATTACTCTACCTCCATTACCTTTACTTGAATCAGAAGGTCCTTGCCCCCCCCCCCACCCTTTTTTTAAACCTGCTTCCTCATTTCCTCTGCTTGAACACCTAGACGAGTCACAGTTCATCCTCAGAGCTGTAGTCACAGCTTTCACAGACACCCCGAGGCTGAACTAACTCGGACTGATGCTGTGGCCTCGGTCTCCGTTAATCATGGCGCATGTGTGCAGAGGAATTTCCTTCCCTAAATGCTCCCTCTGAAATCCACTGCTTCCCTTCCTGGAATTCTGTTCTAAACCTTCTGCCTACATTGGCTTTCACTGTGGAAGTCGATTTCTAAAACTCGGCTCCAGGTGCAGATTTGTGTGTGTGGTTTTGTGGCTAATATATCTGCCTCAGGTGGAAGAGATTGTCTTCATTGGAAATGCAAGGATCTGCCTTGGGGTTGTAGTGTTTTACTAAGAACTGTTAACCTCAGGGCTCTGTATGGAGGCATCCGACTGTTTGTTTTTTTGTGTTTTTTTTTTAAATATATTTTATTGATTTTTCACAGAGAGGAACGGAGAGAGATAGAGAGTTAGAAACATCGATGATGAGAGAAACATCGATCAGCTGCCTCCTGCACATCTCCCACTGGGGATGTGCCCGCAACCCAGGTACATGCCCTTGACCGGAATCGAACCTGGGACCTTTCAGTCCACAGGCGACGCTCTATCCACTGAGCCAAACCGGTTTCGGCCGACTGTTTGTTTTTTTAATTAATTTGAGAGAGAGGACAGGGGAGAGAGAAACTGACTTATTGTTCCACTTATTGATGCATTCATTGGTTGCTTCTTGTATGTGCCCTGACCAGAGTTGGAACCAGCAACTTTGAAGTATCAGGATGTTGGTCTAACCAGTAGAGCTACCTGGCCAGGGCCCAGAATGTTCTGAGGCCACTCTGCAGCAGTCTCTGAACATTGTCTGAGGGAAAGGGGGTCACTGAATTCTAGTTTTTCTAAGGACATGTTTTCAGTATTGAGAGCTTTCTACAGACTTCCCCAATGGCTGAGTGCCTACCTTCACCTCGGGGTAGTGCTAAGTCCTGTTCCTTCCAGAGTTTAATGCACAGAGAGCCAGTTCACTTTTCCGTGGCCACTTAGGCCGCCAGACTCAGCCTGTTTAGAAAAAGCCGTTAGGAGAGTTCTGTAAGGAGGGTTCGTTTTATTAAAGATGGAGAAGCCATCATTCATTCTCTCTAAACAACTTACTGGACTTCTTACTACATGGCCACTTGGACTTTGAGGACTTTGGTAAGAGTATTAACGATGCAAAACAACATAAAAATGAGGTAAGCCAACCTAAAGAAACAAATTCCTTCACCTCTGACAACATAAGGTTAAACACTGGTCAGTCATCATGAGGCTAATTTATTTTTCCAAAGTAAGTGTGGTGACCAGGAAGCGCAAGTTCTTTCTACTCAAATTGTGACGGGAAGAGGCTCATTGGCCTCCCCCAAAGAACAAGCCAAGTACCAGCTGCCCAAGAAATCTCAGCAGAAAAGTCCTCCCCAGGTCTGTTAAAGGTGAAAGGCCTAAACTACCTGAATGTGCCAATGTGTGTGGGTACTCATTTATTCTAATACTAGAGGCCCAGTGCACAACATTCATGCACTGGAGGGGGAGGGGGGCTCAGCCTGACTTGCACCCTCTGGCAGTGGGACATCCCCCGAAGTGTCCTTAGCACTGCTGCCAAGGACGGAGAGGCTCCCACCACCACTGCTGCGCTCACCAGCTGTGAGCCCAGCTTCTGGCTGAAGAGCGCTCCCCCTGTGGGAGGGCACTGACCACCAGGGGGCAGCTCCTGCACTGAGCGTGTGCCCCATGGTGGTCAGTGTGCCATAGCAACTGGTCATTCTGTGGTTTGGTCGATTTGCATATTAGGGTTTTATTATATAGGATTCTCAGAAGACACTTCTATGAACTGGGGCCATTCTGCCTGTGTTTACTTCCACAAGCACACTGGTGTCCAATGCAAAGGACTTGAGGTAAGACACACAAATCCTTTGTAAAATAAGAATTTGGTAAATAAAGCCAATCACAGCCTTAACCTGCATTTTTGAACACAGCTTTCAGATATTCTGGAACTACATTTATTACCAAATCTTGGCTTTGGGAATAGATGGCACAGGTCTTACGAAGTCGTATCTACTGAGAGTGGTTATTGCCCCACTCATCCTCCATACAAAATTATCAGGATATGTCCATTCTTTTAGGGGAGTTAGTTTTCTTCTCAAGTGAAAGGCAGTATTTTATAGCTCAACCTGGAGCAATCGTTTTTAACATCTTCCTCCAACTCAGTTTGGCATGCTTCGGAAGTCCACTGTTTTGTGTCGGAGGCAAGTCAACGCCAAGTGAGACAAGCCTGGCTCAAAGCTGAAGTGTCTGTGTCCTGGTTTTCCGAATCCTCAGGAAAGGTTTAGTCATTCACCTCCATCCAGTGGATGTTTGTAAATGTCTTGCTATCCATTTTGTCAATGAACAGGCAGCCCTGCAAGTGGTCCATCTCGTGCTGGATGATGCGCGCTGCCCACCCACTGGCCTGCCACACGACCTGCTCTCCTCTGGGGTCCAGCCCTGCAAAGGAAGTTACAGTCTGGGTGAGGACATGCTGGACTGCAGCACTCTCAACCTCCTTACCACCTGCCCTTGCCCCTGGATGTTCCTGTTCACAAGAGGCAACATCAGAAGGGAACTCGGCACCTCTTATCCTCCTAGAAAAGGTGCCCCACGTCCGCCAGTTACCGAGTAGTCAACTTAGTTCCCAACTCTAACAGGCAGGTTGCTGGGCTTCCTATGTGATCTTGCTGATAAGGTGCTTCTCTCCTGAACACTCCTCCCGCCTCTGAAGTATTGCTGTTTGCTTTCGATTCCTAACACCAAGTACTCCAGCTTGGTGCAATATAAAGTAAGGGAGACCACTGACTTTGACCCTCAGGGCCCAAGTGGCTTGCTCAGGAGGAACAATCATCACAACCCCAGCAAAGAACCACATTCCACAAACATCCTGGTATGACAGGCCGGGAATGGGTGTCACCTTCACCCTGGGCTGGGCAGGGCAAGAGGTCCCGTTCCTCCCGCTCCACATGACAGATCTAATCCGGGGCAGAAGAGCGTGTGATAGACAGAGTGGGCCAGGGCACAGAGCAGAGGACCAGCTGTAAGGAAACAGCGGCACCGGGCCATCCTAACACCCCCACTCTACCTCCCACACGGCTCCTCCACTTGAGCTGGCTGTGCCCCAGTCTGTTAGTCCTGCGTCCCGTCATTTCCCAGATCCTGTCCTTTGTTCACGCCGGAAGGTTCCGCTGATCAGCCCTCAACGTGTCTGCACCGGAACTGGAGCTTTACAGAAACTTTCCAGGGATCCGAGGCCGCCGCCTCCACAGGCAGAAGAGACACAAGCGCTTCCCCAGCCGCCCCAGGGTCCCTGCCGCCCCGCACCTGAGATCTGCACGGCCTGGAAGCGGGGCACGTAGGCCAGGAAGCCGGCGACGCTCTCGCAGCCCTCGGGGAACGTGACCAGGCGGCTGTCCAGCACCCGCAGGCTGGGGTTCACGAACACGCGCAGGGGGAAGGGCTCCATCTGG